GGGTGGACAAGGTAACATATTCATGTGCCTTCCAGCCCTACATTTCTATGAATTTTACTTCCTTCATCCACATTCTTTCTTCCTTCAGCCCAGGATCTGACACTGAAGTATCCTTCCTCTGATATATCTCCATTTCTATCACCTGATAATTCAGCTCAATCTCCTACCCTCCCTGCCAAGCTCCATTCTGGGTTCTTCCACTCAGCCATCAAATATGCTCTTGTACCTCCTATTATCTCTGTATGCAACTAGCGCCTAATTTGGACATGCAGTTACTGCAGCAATGAATAGTGATTGGGTAAATGCACACATAAGGAGGCCACTGTCTGTGGATACAGGGCAATATGTGACTCTAACTTTTAATACTCTACCAGTGACCCAACACTAAAAATACAAAGTTTGACACACCTATCCCTAACCCACGTTGATCCACGGTAGCTAATGTCCTCCTAGCTATCTGGCAAGTTAAAAATAGCAATGTGATGTCACAAGTGGGAGCCAATGGATTTGTTCAGTTGAAAAGCATATCAGATGCCACAGAGCATGTTCAAAAGTATTATTCAATTGCTTATAATATTTTCCATGGGTTTTTTACATTTAGTATGTTATAAAGTTCAGCCATTTTTAGTAATATGTAAAGTTATCTAGAAAAAAGATAGTCAGAGTTGTTTTGCAAGAGGACTCATATTTTTTCCCTTTTCATCACTTTAAAGTGGCTTATGGGATTTCGTTCAAGCATTCCAAACTAATTCTTTCCTGAGTTGACACCAAGCATGGAAAATTTGAGATGGAAAGGTAAATTTTTCATGAAGTCTAGAGTACGGAGAATCAATGGAATTTTAAAAGAAATTATTTTGCAACCTCAGCTACTGTACAGCAGCTGCAAAAAAGCATGACCGTTTGTAATAAGCTCCTCCGTTGGACAAAGAAAGCAAATAATTAAAGAGAGATCTTTTCCGTAATTTATAGTTCTTGACACATGAAAATATATTGTTTATCTGTTACAGGGTGACTTGTCCACTTTAAGGGGTGTTGAATTAATTTATATGGAATAAATGGGTCATAAGAGCTAACATAACCCAGTCACTGTTCCTCATTAAACACTGTTACGCGAAGTCTAGAGTTTGGTAGACAGAGACCTCTGCTTGCTTAAAACTATGGAAAACACACCATTAAAATCTTTTTTAACCTTTCATTAAAGATAAAGAAGACAAAAACAGTTTCTGTATTTGAAATGTAAAGTGTTAGATAGGGCTTTGATTTTAACAGCATCATTTATTCTTTCCCAATAGAAGGAGAAAGGAAGGAAGATCACCCTTGTCTGACAGTCTCATAGGACAGCTCTAAATGATGTCATTATGTCAAATGTATAATGTGCATATCCACACTACTAAGCCCTCTTCACTGACTTCAAGGACTTGCAAAATTGATGCCTGTACTCCATCTTGGCAAGAAGTGTAGCACTAGAGTCACCCTTCCTGGACTGAATTAGGGTAAGTGTAGATATAAGCACTGTGTAATTTGATGGGATTGGCCTCCAGGAGGGTCCCAGATTGCTGTGCTTTGACCGCTCTGAAGTACACTTTCAAGTCCACTGCACTTCAGCCAGGGGCACACGAAAAGCCCCAGGAACTTTTGAATTTCATGTTCTGTGTGTTCATCATGGACAGCTCACCAGCACAAGTGACCAATGCCTAGGGCCACAAACACCAGCATGAAGCATACAGGAGTCACTAGATCTGATTTCTGTGTGAGGAGAAGAACCTGTGCAGGCAGAGCTCTGAACCAGCAGAAGAAACACTGACATCCATTCAAAAAATCACACAGGGCATGGAGGAGAGTGGTTATAACAGGGACACACACAGCAGTGTCACTTGAAAATAAAGGACCTCAGACAAAC